TTTATATTAATATATTAAATATTATTATTAATATTATTATATATATATATATAAATATGATAACATATATAAATATAAAAATATTATTTCAAAAAGGATATATCCGTGCAAAAAAAAGAACACGAGAGAGAAAGAGAGAGAGAGAGAGAGAGAGAGAGAACGAGCGTGCGCGCGCGTGAACGTTCGCCCGAAAAAGGGTTTGAATCAATAATAAAAACAGATCAAATAAATTCTAATTATAACTTTTGTTTCATTATGATATAATCTAACAATTTTTATCAATATTAATTTTGCGTGTTAATTAATCGAACAAAAACAAAACAAAAAAAAAAACACCACGAAAAAAGAAAAAAAAAACATAAAATGACCGATATTAACGTTTACGTTTGTCCCCCATTGAAAATCACGTGGGTAGATGGAGCTTAACCAATGAAGAAGAAGTTGATAATAATCATTGACGAGTTTAAAATGAAATCGGTAAACTTCATCCCTACCGATCGATCGCGTATTCGCGCGCAAGCGAACACGATGATGAGATGAGATAATGATGGTTGGTTTATTTTAATATCAAAGAATACATATATCGAAATTTAATATCCTCGTAAATCAATGAACTCGTGAATTAATCTCTTATACAATAAAAATTGTTGGTTGTGTGGAATGGGGTGAAGCTGGTATGAAAAGAAATGACGATACTCAACTAATTTTCTTTTTCTTTTACGTCACGGTGTTGGAATAAGAATAAGAATAAGAGGAAGAAGGACAGATAGATATTATAAAGAGAGTACAAAAGAGAAAGAGAGAGAGAGAGGAACGTGGTGGTCTGTCGCCCAAGTGGCTTGCCAGTGAAAGTGACCCATATTCGTCGTTTCTTCGGCGGATCGTTAAGTGCGACGCGTTAAACCCATTTTTATTTTTGTTCATGTATTTCTTAACAATTATTCAAATACTTTTCTATCAAAATACTTTAATCAAATAAAGACAAAAATACTAACAAAAAAAAAAAGAGATCGACAGAGAGAGGGATGAAAAAAAGAAAATCTTTGGAAGAAACGAACGTGTGTGTGTGCAATGACTTACCTCGTTTTGATTAACGATGTCACACATGTTGTTGTGTTGTCACTTAGAAATATTATACAACGACGTTTTTATCGTCGTCGTTGATCGTTGATCGTTGTTCAGCTCTTTTCGTTCCTCGTCGTTCTCGTCCTCGTCGATATCGCGAAATTCTCGTTGGTATAGCAAAACGATTGCACACCGCCACCTCGCACACGGCCGGCCGCGTGAGGGCGAGTGTTAGGGCAAAGGGTGGTGAGAGGAGACCGGTTAGGAGATGAGAATCAGGCAAGGGTGGTGGTGGTGGTGGTGGTGGTGGTGCTGGTGGTGGGTATTCCTCCTCGAGCGAACTCTACCGTGTCACTCTCGAGTGGATATGACAGAGAATTGAGAGAGAAGGATAAGAACAAGGAGTGGGTTACCGGTGGGTGGTAATGGACAAGAGAGGGGACGTAGGGTGGTAAGGGTAGAGAAGAAGAACGAAGAGTAGGAGGAGGGTACGAGAAAAACCGTGAAGAGTAAAGGGGGATCGGTTGATTGATTCTAAAATCTATCGAATCTTACCCGTTGCAACGCGTTCCGTGATATTTTTAGGATTCAACGGGACCCCCTTATATCGCTCCGTTACTGCCAATTCGAATTATCGATTTGAGAAAGAAATATAACACTTTGTGTTACTACTATTAGTATTCTCTTCCAACCCCCTCCCTCTCCCCCAAATCAATCGATCGAATGATTTGTTTATTTTTTTATTTATTTCCTATTTTTTTTTTATTAGGTTTTTTTTTTGTATAGAAAGTTATTATTCTATCGAGAATTCAAACCCTTTGTGAACCATTGAAACAATTCGCGAGACACCCACGCGGTCATCCTTTCAGTGACATCATTTGTACAATGTAACAAAGTGGCAGACAATATAATTATTGTTATTTTTACACTGGTCTCTCTCTCTTATCTCGTATTATATTTTATCGATAAATCCTAAACGAAAATTCGTTTTATTTAAATTGATTTTTTAATTCGGTTTTAATCGTGAAAATGTTTATTCAGTTTTGAAAATAAAATTTCTCTTTTCCCCCATTTTTTTCAACCGGTGAAATAAAACAACAACGTTGGGTTGTGCGCAAACGTTCAACTGTTTCTAACCGCGCGCGCTGCTCTACTGCAGGTGGTAGTGGGTGCAACTTCCCCTACTTTTAATTGCTTCCCCTTCCACTGATCTGAGTTAAAAGTACGAGGCGCAAAGTGCAAAGCTCTCTCCCTTGTTTCGCGTGATATTCAACATTGCGCATGCGCGAATTGCTGACACACATATACGTCACTACTACTATCAATTAGCTGTCAGATTTTTATTCATTTTTTTTTTCATCCATTCATCTTTTGAATTTCGATTAAAATTATTTGACCTGCTTACATATATATGTATATATATATATATATTGATTCGATTATTATTATTATTATTATTATTATTATTTTGAAAATGTTTTTTTCATATATTATAGATTCCACAAAATCGCGGGAAAATTTGACTTATTTGAATGTAGTTACAACACGTTACATTTTTTTCGATCAGTTATCGTTCGTATTTAATATTTCTTTTGCAACAATTTTTATTTATTTGTATCTTAAAATCTAATTATTGATATTCATTGGGATTAAAGAAAGTTTTTTGATATAACTTACATAGTGTCCATTGGGATTATGCACTTGTAATAGTATTACGAAGCTACAATTAACTAGGAGGTTGTTGATGGAACATTTAGATACGACACGCTCGATCGATCGATTCACATTACATGACGTATAACTTCACACCATTTAATGTAAAAATAAATGCTGCATTCACTATGACACAATATCATTGATTTTAAATTATTTTTCTTTTTTAATATTGCAAGATTTTCTTTTTCTTAACTTATTACAATGTAATATTTATTTTAGCCATTTATGTTTACAATGTATACATCTTTTTTATAATAAGGAACGAATAACTTAGCGATATTTGTATAGATTATTATAAATATGTTTAGTTTTGTCCATTGACTTGCATCCAGATCATATATTTATATTTATCGTTAAATAAATTACAATTACGCTTGTTATCTAGGAGTTTGATGAAATTTAACAGAATACCCACCACTATTTGGATCTTTCTGTAATTCAAAATTATTCGTCGAAAGACCAAATGGTTTTAATACCATATTACCAAGATCTTTCAATTTACCCAACATTTCCGTCTTTAATTTTTCATTTCTTTCATTAATTAATGGCGGTAACCTCTGAAATGATATTAACATTATAATACATGATTTAAATCATATAAAAATATAAAATATCTAATTAAATTTAGTAACTTACTCTAACTGCATAATTAGCTTCACTGTGACTAGGATCAAATGTTAAGATTTTTTTGTAATCTTCTAAAGATTCATCTAATTTATCTGTCTCTTCGTATAATTGTGCTCTCCTAATGTAAGCTTTTACATAGCTTGGATTTAATTCAATTGCTTTTGTACAATCAGATATAGCTGATTCCTTTTCATCCTATAACAATGTAACATTATAAATCAATCTAATGTACATATATTGAGTAAAATAGAGAAACTAATATAAGTTAATTAAAGAATACCTACAAGGGATTTTATTTTAGCTGCTGCTCTATTAGAATACAAAATAGCACGTTCTTTACTATAGGTTAAAGGACATGTTTGTAAACCTTGAGTATAAAGTGATATAGCTTTTACATAGTCTCCGTCTTTGAAAGAAGTGTTGCCTTCATTTTTAAGTTTCTCTGCTTCATCTTTAAGTGTCTATAAAACAATAATTTACACATTTTACAGTTATTTATATATATAAAATGATATTATTTTATTCGGAAAATAAAAGGAAGTATAGATAATAAAACATGTACTAACTTCTTTCTCAGTCTCACTGAGATTTTCTTCCCTTTTTTTAAGAAATTCTTCATCTATAGAATCAGCATTAGTTTTCTTACTATCTGCATTGTCATTCTTCTCATTACCATTAGAATCATCACGATTGATAAAATCTTGATTAGATTCCTCCGATGAACTACTTTTATTTATTTCACTTGTTTGATATCGAGTTTCTTTGGTTATTGGATTTTCATCATCATCCACATTTATGGAATTTTCCAGATCTCTCGTAAGTTCTTCTATGATTTCTTCGTTAGTCTTTATGTTGCTACAATTGTTATCCATATTTATATACTTTTTTAATTATTTTTACTTGAAATACGTTTTTTTATTACAAGGTCGTTCTTGTTAATAATTACATACACTTTTAAGACAACTGAAATTATCTATCAAAACGAAATAAAGGTTCTCTCTGTTGATGATTTCATTTTTATTCAATATACTACCGACAGATGGTGCAACTTGTCACATTAAAGTGCAATATTCACGGAAATGAAAATCAAAGATGGTGGTGTTTAACCTCGATGCAACTTCATTGCCCTCTATCGGAAATCATTGTAAATTAAAAAATTGATCCAAATTTAAATGTTATTAGATTTTTCAATTAGTATTTTTAAATAAAAAGAATTGTTATTTTATAATGGAATGAAAAAAAAAAAATTTTTACAACGTTTACATTTTGTTGTTTAATAACGTAAGAAATATTTATTTTTATTTAAATTTATTTTGCAATTTTTTTCCAAAAGAATATAAACAAAATTAATTGGAAAAAATACTATATTCTTTTTACTTATATTATTTTATTTGTAATAAAATGAACAATTCTCGTAATTCTCATGTCTATCGATTGTAAGTTGAAACAAGAGTTGTGTTTGTTTTATTTTACGTGAATTTTTCATAAGATGACGGAATTAAGTAAAATAATTTATAAATTTTCGAGAGATTTCTCGTATAATGGACGTTGAAACTTCAGAATGAAAAGAAATAGACTAGTTTTCATTCTTGTTAATTCTTCCAATTGAATTCGTTGATGATCGTTTTAACTTATGTTAATATTTACCTTTCACTTCCATTCTACTTAATCAAGTTAAAAAATAAAAAAAAATAAAAAAAAGGAAATTTAAACAATTTCATAATGAAATATTTTTCAAATAAATCCAACACTTTATTTTTCCACCTTTATTTATTTTATCCCATAATAAATCTTTCTATATTTCTATTACATCCAATAATTTGATTTTCAACGTTTAATTGCAAACAAAAAACTAGTAAATTAAATCACCTTGATTATTTTTTAATGATCGTATGTAAAAAAACGATAATTAATGTCGAGATAAATATAAAATAATCGTTAATCTAATTTAAAATTGCAAATTGTTTCAAAGAGGAAATAATAGTAACACAAAAGTGTTTGAGAATAAAAACAAAATGTAAATCTAATCGATTTTCTTTTGACAATTATAAAAATTTGTTGAACGTTGTAGTCAATTTTATTGTATTGTTGTTCATCGAAAGAACTCAAAGGATTACGAGAAAATATCACACGAGAGCTCTTTTAGTGAGAATGCATTAAACTGTGTCCTTTTTTCTTGTTTTCTTCCGTACTTCGGTGTAAACCAGGTGGCTCATTTACATGCCAGACGATTCGCGAAGGGATGGACGCGTGTATAATGGCCTTAAGGTTCATCACGAGATGGTAGTATAAAAAAAGAAAAAGAAAAAAACAAAAAAATAAACAAAAGAAAAAGTTGCAAAGAAAGAAAGAACAAACCACTTCGAAAAAAAACCTTTTTTTTTGTTCCTTTTATTTATTTTGTACCTTTTTCTTTACTTCCTCAACAGTGTTCAGTGTTCTCACCCACGTTCTTATTCTTCTTCTTCTTCTTCTTCTTTTTCTTTCTAACAGAGCGTAATTTACGTCTACTTTTTACACGTATTCACCATATCGTTCGTAATTTATACTACTAGAAGATAATTAAGAATTCTCGAGATTTTAATCCCCACCCTTTCACCCTTCACCCTTCCGTCACACTCACTTTACCCACATTTCATTTCTATAAGAGTTACATACAATCTTATCGGTTAAGTTAAATGTTTTATGCGTGATTTCTGTTTGTAATGCTTATTAACTTTAATACGAAGAAGTATCACACACACACACACACACACAAACACATACATTTTAATTTTAAAAGATTAATATTTCAACTTATAGTTTTACTATGTCAAATATGTTTACAACTTTATTTCTTTTGTTTTTTTTTTTTTGCAAATGGTGTGTGTCGTAACACTTAAAAAGAACATTCATTTTATTGTTGCTACAATGTCCTCGAAGTGGTTGCAACGTGCGTGTTAAACGACGTGTTTGCTTTTATCTTGACGGTAAGATTTTTCTTTTTTTTTGTTTTTTTGTTTACTCCTTTTTTTTTCTTATTTTTATTTTTTATTAACGTTCACAATCGATCGTCAAGATAAAAAGCACGAAAATAAACCTCGTAAAACTTCGATCTCCATCTATGAAGTATTTAAACGAATAGTACAAACAATAAACGAGACTCTATTTTTTCAATTCATCGATTGTATGCGAAACTATACCTCGATGTGAACCTTTTTTTTTGTTTTTTCTTTATTTTTTTTCTTTATTAACTTCCGTCAGGAAGATTTATATATTTTGGGAGGAACGGGCAGGGGTGGGGACAAGGGTAGGGATTTCTCTGTTTATTTTTGCGGAATAAATTCATTGATCGCAATAGTTGAAAGTTTTGTGTTCGAAAATCATCTTTTCACATTCACGTGGTTTTGAGGATCGTCTAGAAATTCAATTTACGTATACCACGAGAACGTTAAATCGCTTCTCTAAAGTGTGACAAAAGGTTTCCATTGAAAGGATTAATACGAAACTAAATCTCGTTTTGCGAGATATTGCGGTGTTAATTTTTTTTACGTGATTTTCAATTTCTTTCTTTTCTCAACTCAACATCGATATTAAATATAATATTATTGAAATGATACATTTTTATATGGGTATAAAAATATTTATAAATATTTAAATGTATACATATGTTATAATAAAAAAAAAAATAAAAAAAGAAATAAAAAAAAAAAATTTATGCATATACATATGTAAATACAATATGCAATTACTTGCACACGTGTACAACATTGTTTTATTATTTCTCACACAAGAAGCCATTTTAGTTTCACATTTAATTGTAAGTTCCATTAAAAAGCGACATGATATTTGAGGATTATTTTGTTTATTGTTAATAATAAAATTAATAATAATATTTATAATTATATATTATATGTAGAATAATATTATTAATAATAATATTATATATATATATAATATAATAATTATATTAATAATAAATATAATATTATTAATAATAATTAATAATATTTTTATTAACGATTGGGATACAATTATTTGTTTGTTTGTTTTATTTTGTTTATCGTTAATAATAAATTTTATATATTATATTGTTAATATAATATATACAATATTATAATAATATTATAATATTATATATATATATATATATATATGTATATTATAATAATATTATTAATAATTTATATATAATATAATAATGATATTTATAATAAATATAATATTATTAATTTAATTATTAATAATATTTTTATTAAAAATTGAAATATTGTACAATTATTTGTATGAAATATAAAATAAATGCTAAACTATATGTCAATGTATTTACAAATAAAATTGCGAATAAAAATAATATGAAATATAATTTAGTATTTAGATGAGAATGGGGTTAATTATGGATCGAAGGTTAAACGCGCATCTATTTCTTAATTATTAAATTTGTCTCGAAGGATTCGCTGCAGGGAGGGTGAGACCATGAAAAAGGAACCAGAAAGACTATTTACTTACTTTATCAAAATGTATGCGAGTCTAACTTTCACGATTCGAATTTCTATAGTAAAGGTGAGAAAGGGATAAAAAGAAAGTGTGTGTGTGTGTAAGAAAGAGAGGGATAACAGTACTCACTTGAGACCATTTTCTTTCTTGGACGATGGTAACGGTGCGCGACCGTGGCGGATCGACTGTGAAACTAAGAACATTTTCTATCTTTTCTTTTTATTTTATTTTTTTTTTATTTTAACTTTTTCTCTATCTTTCTTTAGTTTACACTCGCATTGTTCTTTGTGATACATTTTCTAAAGAGAAATCCATGAGGAATCCCGAGGTTCTTTCGAAAGAATTGCCGATAAAAACTCTATGTTGCTTCAACCAAGAAAGTCATTTCTTCGAAACGCCATTTTGAAAAGCTTTTTCTGCAATTTCAAAGATTATTTCATTCCAGTTGAATCTACTATAGGATTAAACGATACGACAGATTTCACCGACATTTTATTTCTTCGATTACTTTTGCGTTTTACCAAATTATTAAATATTTATATATATATATGTTATATTATAATTTAATTATTTGTAATACAATTTCATCATTATCATTTTTAAATAAATTATATAATATAAAGTATCAAATATGAAATGTAATTTAGATCTAGCGAACATCAATAATTTTTATTATATAAAAAATAATAAATTTAATATAACTTAATAAAAATAATAAATTTAATATAACCTAATAAAAACAATAAATATAAAAAATAATAAATTTAAAATAACATAATAAAAATAAATATTTTATATATAATATATAAAAATAATATATATATAAATAATAAATATAAAAAATAATAAATTTAAAATAACATAATAAAAATAAATATTTTATGTATAATATATAGAAATAATATATAAAAATAATAAATATAAAAAATACTAAATTAAATAAAACATAATAAAAATAATAAATGTATAAAAATAAATATTTTTTAATGATAAAATAAATTATTATAATAAAAAAAGATATAATATAAAAAGTTGCGTACATTGACGAAAGGTTAAACGAAATATCCTTGAGTAAATAATCCTTGACGAACTATATGAAAATGGATGATATTTTCCAACAAAATTCTTTAATTTCGTAAATTCATGTAAAAAGAGAAAAAAATATAAAACTAAAAAGAGACAATTCCTTTTTTTTCTCTATAAAAACTAAGAAAATTTTCCATTGTCATCCATTGAAAAAAAAAAAAAAAAGGAGTCGGATTAAACAATATAAGTAAACGTGATTTGTACGTCCATCATTTTTAACCATCGCCATATTTTGGCATCTCGAATAAAACATTTTTATCTTCTTTTTTTTTGTACAGTTTGAACATTTTTAAGTAGCATACCTAACCTTAAAACGTGTTCGTTAATGCGAGAATGTTGTAACGGCAAAAGGATTATGCAAACATAAACGTAAAATACACATTATGCGATAGACGTGTAATGTCAGGGCCACTCAAAAACTTTAGTCAGTGATATCAAAGACCCTAAATGATATGACAAATTACTGTGACAAATGTAACACGACCTGTGCTTATCGTTTAACTTGTTACCCCCTCCTTCCCTTCCCACCCCACCCTGGACTTATTATTTGTTTTTCTTTACTCAGAATAATCGTACGTATAATACGATAACTCATTGATAAGTAACTTTCATTAAAATGAGTGAAAGAGAAAGAGAGAGAGAGAGAGAGAGAGAGAGAGAGATTTATTGGGATTAAAATATTGTAAAAAATGCAATGAAGAATATTCCTAGGAAATAAATTCTAAGAACTGGATATTATTATTTGATTGCAATCCCGATAATCGTTCGTCTTCGAAGAAAATGCTATTAATTTATTAATATAATTTAACAGCTATTTCTACTTTATTTATGGAATAAAAGAAATAAGGGAAAAGATGAAGGAACAAAAAAAAAAAAATAAAATCCGTAATAAAAAATTCTATGAACGAAAAAAAAAAAGGGGGGTTTTATTGTAATTTTTTATAGTTGATGATCGATAAGACAAATCTGACTTGAAATGGTGTAAAAAAAGAAAAATTAGTAGTTGTCTTGTTCCTCGACTCTTGAAAAGAATGGAACCGGAAGAAGAAGAAGAAGATGATGACCATGACGACGACGACGACGACGACGACGACTACGAAAGTCATTCAGGTGTGTTAGAGTACTTAGGCTATTTTGAATGTCGAAGTAACACGAAGGAATAGAAAAGAAGGGGGTGAAAAAGAACGTAACACGACTATTCCACCTCCCACCCTGATCTTCCCACAATTCAAAGTTCTGATTGGTCCGTCTTAGTGACGTCACCGCGCCACCATCCTATGTATAAGTTGAAGCACGCGGAGCGTCAGTTCAACACTGTCCGTCGGCTCGAGTTCGTCTCAACTTCGAGGACAACGAACGGGGAAGGGAACATCATCATCATCCCCATCTTTATATTTTACCACGAAAGGTTCATCCCCTTTTCAACATAATTTTCAACTGGATTCTATATTTGAGATTGATTTCTCAAAAAGGGAAGGAACATCATTGACTAGGACAACACGTTTACTTTCTTCCATTTCAACTTTTTAACATCGAAAGGTAAATTTTATATTATTTTCTTTTTTTTTTTTTTTAAATATTTTTTCAAAATTTTATTCAATTTTAACCCCTTAAGGAACAATTTTGGCTCAACGTAATACAACGCAGCTTGAGTTAACTCGAGCGTGCTACTTAAAGATGTTAATTCATCATTTTKTTGTTGTTGGAATTAATTATACGAATTTTTAAATAATAAGAAAATTAATTAACGGTGTAAAAATTTGATAACTGAAATATCGATTAAGAGTTTTCTTTTTGTTTTTTTTTTTTTTTTTTAATAGAAAAAGATATAAGGATAAATTTCATAGAATGAATTATGAGATTGGGGGTCAACCAATGAAGTGTTACTGTAATTTACATGGGCGTTAATTAAACGAATCGGTTAGAGATCAACGAATTTCATGTTTAACGATCAGTGTTATGTCATATTCATATTCGGTTGAGTCTTAATTGATAAATATATACATATATAAACGTAAATACATATTAAACACGTATATAACATGTATACATATTGGTAGAACGATCAGAGAATAATTATCGAATTAATTGTTTCATTAGAACACGTATACACATAAGTTCATCACTAAATTAATTATTATTAAACAAATCTATTAGTTTTCAGTATATTTTTGTTAAATAGAACAATTTTTTCTTTCTTTTTGATTATATTCGATTAAACAAAAAAAAAAAAAAAATTAAAAAAATGAGACAAACTGATTCTGACCAAAAGTTAAATTGCGTGTGAATGAAATGAACATTTCTTTTGGAAATAAACAATAATAAAAATTAGATAATATTCAACATTCACGAATGAGAAAGAGAGAGAGAGAGAGTGTGTGTGAGAGAATGTAATAATATCGTGTAGATCGAAATAATGTTTATTCGATTAAATGAATTGTCGAAATGAGAATAAAACAATAATTGTTTTATTTAATATCGTAAAAAGCAAATTTACCGCGTTTATTATCAGAAAATATATCACTGTCGGAATGATAGAAAATCTAAACACAGTTTATGTGATTTTAAAGAAATTATAGAATAAAAACAATATTCAGAGTACGTCAGTTATATAATAATGAGTTTTATCATCCGTTAAAATGCGATTTTAAATAATATCACGAAAAGCTTCGGCTTCCGACCGGGATAATAATCGATCGAATTCGCGGTGAAGCAACAGGCACTCCAATGAAATCACAAAGTAGAAGATACCAAACCAGAGAGAGAGACAGAGAGAGAGAGAGAGAGAGAGGGAGGCAGACAGATGTTGGTACACTCAATATTGTAATTGTTGATCTTATCAATAATCACGGTTCACGTTATTTTTGATTAAAATCGTTCATAACGATTTTGAATCATCGTCCAATAAGAAATTAATCTAATTTGTAATAAAATATTTTACTAAATGATCTTTCAATATCTTTTTTTTTTACATCATCCTCGTCGAATATTTTACTGAAACTTCATTTATTCTTTTAATTATTATTCCTTAATCAAATATTAAGAGAGAATAAAGTAGGGAAATTATTATTATATATAATTTAACATAATTATATACTTTATTAATTTAATACTAACTCTATAATTTATTATATTAACTTATTATATATCATTTATTAAACTTTTCCATCACATTCGAATATTTTACTGAAACTTCATTTATTTCTTTTTGTATTATTTATTATTCCTAAATCAAATATTAAAAATTAAGTAGGGAAATTATGGTATATAATCTAACTTGTTATATATATATATATATATTATATAAATTATAATTTAACTTAAATTATATATGATTTTACTAATAACGATCTTTCTATTTTTTTGTTTCCATCTTCCTCAAATATTACTGTAACTTCATTTATTTATTTGTTTTTTTTTTTTTTAATTATTATTCCTCAATCGTATTACGAATTTAGTAAGGAAATTATTATTATATTAGATGGAACAGAAATTAATGTCGCTGTATAACCTCAAAATTAAAAACGAATAAATCTTTCAAACAAATTTTTATTATTAATCACTAAATTCAATTAATTCATTTAATTAATTAATCACGTTATCAACAACATTTTTCTATCTGGTATGTAAAATTTTTAATATCCTAATCATAAAAATTATCAATCAATTTTTTGAATAAAATATTCATAATAAAAATTTGACGTGCGTAGTAACACACTTAATGGGTAACACCACTATATAGAGCTTAAAAAAAAAACCTTTTTTTGGGAATTTTTTTTGCCAAAACTACATGAGGAATAGAATTTCTTTTTCGAGGGTTGCTTAATCATATATTGAACTATGTAAACAAATATTTTTATTAATTTTAGATAGAAAATGGCGTGGGTATTCGTGACTGAACAAAACCCTGTTTTTTTTTCTTTTGCTAAAACGTGCGGACTCATACCTGGACAACTATGAGACCTAGAATAAAAACCAATAGAAATCCTTAATCTATGTACTATTTATTATTTTGAGGAGTACATACGGATTTTTTCCTAAGTAAAAATTTTGTGAAAATGGCGCAACTTTGAATAAAAAAATCGACTTTTCGACGAAAAAAAATGTAGAAAATTGTTTATAAAATTAAATGTTTACAATCAATTAAAAATCGGATATGTACTTCTGTAGAAAATATAACTATCAAAATATCTTCCAAATTTCAAGTCAATTGGTTAAATGACGCTCGAGTTCTGAGTCCGCTCAGTTTTAAAAATTTTCGAGTTAAAGTTTCGAGAAAAACACGTTTAAAGTTTTATTATCACTATTTGAGGCGCTTTAAGGCGCTTCGTAAAACTAAGATTTCACCGTGTTAACATTTTATTTTTGCTTCAGAACCATGTGCATAATATTTTTAGATGTCTAAAGTAAACTTTAAGCTAAAAAAAAACAAAAAACATCGATTTTTTGAAATTTCTACAGTGGTGTTATCCCTTAAAATACGTTTACGGTTACGGTCACGTTACAATTAATTTATATATAATTATATATATATTATAAATAAAAAGAATTAATTAAAAAAAAACTATCGAATCAACATTTCATTGATTAATTCAAATTCTAACCTCAATTTTCAACGATTTAACATTCCTTCTTTTCTAATAATGTTAAAAAAACAAATTTGTACAAGAAGATACGTAAGTTTATATATAAATTCTATAATAAAAGTAATTTCCCTTAGATTTCCCATAAGAATGTGATTTAATTTTCCAAATTTTCCAAGTATTTACGTTAAACATTCGTTCGTTGGTAAAACCACTTGTAACCATTGTTTCTATTGTTCCGGATAAACAATGCAACTTACTTGATCGAAAAGAGAGAAAGAGAGAAGGGGCAGGGGGAGGGAGGAAAGTTGTATGTCATGGTAGCACAGCTGGTGGTTACCTGATGGTTTCGTTACCACCCCCGCTGTAAGAATGTTTCCAGTTTAGTCGAACGAATGAATGATATTGCGATAAATTTATGTATGTCACCGGTTACACCGATTGCAACTTTGCTATCCCAGTAGTATACGTTCAAAATTAATCGTCCCACGGTCCTGTAAACTCGTCTCTCTTATTCTAATCAACTTAACCCTTTTTCGAGATTAGAATGACGAACGAAAATGTTTGCTTGGTAATTTTATCGATTTAATAAATTAAATTGGAAAAAGTAGAGAAAAATAAATATTATAAAAGAGCAACCATTTTGAAATTTTCTTATGTAACGATTTAATTGATTATTTTTTCTTTTTTTTTTTTTTTTTTTGGTTCTATTTTCCATCTGTTTAATTGTTTTTTTTTTCTTTTTCCTTTTTATTCTTTTAATTTAAATTTCTTCCATTTCTTCATTTTGCATGAAGAAGAGTAAATTGATAATTGCATTGATTAAAAAACAATTATAAGTTACTTGTAGAAATGTGTTCGATTGTTTTATAATTACAAAATAAATAAATAAATAAATAAATAATAATAATAATACAGTTTTAAATTATTATATAATAATTATAAATAATATTATAATTAAATATTAATAATAATAATAGTAATAATAATAATATTTATATTTATTTTTTTTTTTAAATATTTTTATTTGTAATAATTGTTATATTATTATTTTTAATTATTATTATTATTATTGTATATATATATATATATTATATTAATTGTAGTAATAGTTTTGATATAATTATTAATTCCTTATTTTATTCCTTTCATAAGAAATGAACTGTGAAACATTTCAAAATTACTGTATAATTGAAAAAAGAAGAGCTTTCGATTAAAAATTTTTATTTGAAAATGATATTTTAATTCATTTCTTTCCTAAGAATATTAAATTGCTTAGGTAAACTAAGATTTTTTTTTCTTTCTTTTTCTTTTGCAAGAATATAATTAATGATTTTAAATTGAATTATGTTTGACGAACCAGTAGTGTTTGAACGAAGTTTATTTGTTGACTTTATTTTCAATAATTGCAAAAGAAAGTTGATTAATTTTAGAACATTTTTCAATATCTACTTTTCAAACGTATAAATTGTTTTTACATTTTTTTTTTTTTGGGATTCTTTTTGATATTCATATAATAGGTGATCAAAAATTCATTTTACTCGTGCAATTTTCAAATTTATCTATATGTTTCGGAATATTTCGTATTTTTACAGATTAACGAATTCATCTGCCATTAAACGTTGGTTCTTTCAGTCTTATTATTTCATATTCTATTTTCTTATTCATCATTATTGATATATTCACGTTTCTAGAATTTTGTCGAAGGTGTTTCGTGGTTTATAAACGTTGGCAAATATTAGAATTAAATTATTAATCTTAACACGTTATATATAATGTTGATCGTTCGTGACGATGTAAAGGATCTCGTTCGTGTCGTTTCGAGTTAAAAAAAAAAAAAAAAATATAAAGTGGATTTTCTACTACAAGTCCTTTTTCTCTTTTCATTCGTTGCAATTGTATTTCATACTTTGTCTATATGACTTTTTAAAGGATCAATAATGCATGGAATATTAC